ATCACTTGTGCCTGTAGTCCCAGCTACACTTGAGGCTGAGGTGGGAGGATTGATTGAGCGTGGGAGGCGAAGGTTGCAGTGAGCCAAGATCACGCACCTATACTCTAGCCTGGGTGATGCAGTGAGACCCCTTCTCAAAAAAAAAAAAAAAGAAATTTGGGGGGGAGACCCATTTTACTCTATTAATGTAATTTTAAAAATAACATATGGATGAAGCATTATTAATTGAAAAGCAATTAAGTTTTAAAAAGCAAAATAAATGGCTACATACCTAAAAATGATATTTCTTAGGATTAGCTGAAGATTTCTAGGGACCTAGAACTGTGTCTGACAAGAATATGTGATTATATTAGTTAGGATTCTGATAGGAAATGCATGACATACATACTCAAACTTGGTATTTAACGAACATTTACAAATGTGTTGGCAGGTCTTAGGGAAACCAAAAAGAGACAATGATATGTTCTGAGGCCAACAAAAGATGAGTGCTTTTACTAGTCAAAGTCTGAAAGAGCAAAGGGTGGGAGCAGTTACCAGAACCTGGAGGGGGAGCCCAGTGCAGGGGGCTCCCTGAGTGAGGTGATGACCTTCAGCCAAGGACCAAGCCCATGTTGACCAGATATCTCTCACTTTCCTCCTACCCTTAGATCTGCCAGTGCCTTCAATTGGAACCAACAGGAAGCCAGAGAGAGGAGGATATCAGTGATGCAGGGCAAGTGGTCGGCCCTCAGGGCACGGAATAGAGGGGAGAAGGTAGAGAGGCGAATGAAGTTAGGGAATCAGTAAATTTTGTTGAATAAAGGAATGGCTGATCGTTATTTTTCTTTTCTTCTCCTGCCAAATCACTTTTCTGTCTTTTTTTTTTTAATTATTTTTTTTTCTCATGAAGGCTGCTCTCTACTTCCAAATGGCCCAAATCACTTTTCTTAATGGATAGTTTCATTTCTTTTAGTTAACAGAGCTACCCATTGCCTTCTTAAAAATCTGCTATTATTACTCAAATGAATTAGATACGCAGTATTTAGTGAGTGCCTACCACAGCGTTTTTACAGATCTATGGCTAATCAATAGTGGAAACTTTGTAAGAAAATTAGTTATTAGTGGAATTTTTTAGCCTGTCTTCAGAAATCTGCATTAAGTCAACAACCTGAAAAAAACAATCACTTGAATTTCATAATTATTCAATAAGGATGTGAAACATTTTCACATCATAAATACAACATATTACCTGCCATGCAACTGAAAATACTTTGCGGGGCATTAACTCTGTGGATATTTGTTTTCTGATTATTCTTATACAACTCAAGCCTACTTTGTGCCCACATTTTCCACATTATGCTTTATTTGATCTGTCTTTAATAAGACATAAGAATTACATGTGAGATTTTGCATTTTAAAAGGAATGAGCTCTAAATTTAATTATGACAAATATTTAAAATGGCTCTTCCTGTACATACTCAGGAAGTTTTTGTTTTGTATACTGTGGTAAATAATGTTAAATTTGTCATTTTAACCATTTTTTATGTGTACAATTCAGAGGCACTAAGTACATAGGCAACCATCACCACTGAAGAATGTGTTTTAATCCTTTCTATTAAGAGGTAGTGTTTCTAGTTTCATGGAAATTTTTTTTTCTCTTCCAAAAAGAACAACAGTAAAATCCCATGAGCTTGCATTCATATCAGTAAAGAAACATCTGCCAAAATCCTATCAAATGACATTTTAAAGTGGTATTAAATTAGCAAAGCTATTGTAAGCTTGTTCCTCAACATACACGAGAAAGAATTTGTTGGAAATAACTTACAGAATGAACATGTCACTTTAAACAGGAAGATGTTGTTATTTTGCTTCTTTTTATTTAACCTCTGAAGGAATTTTGTCAGAAGTCCAGCTAACACTCTAGACTCATGGTTGTAATGTATGGGATATGCCACAGTTTGTGACTCACCTTTCTTTAATGTATTTTTCAAATTTGAATAATAATATCCAGACTCAAGCTTATGTTCTTTTGTTCATTTAATTAAGTTCTGAGATGGTAATAACACAGCAGTGAAATTTTTAACTTTTATGTATTATAAAACACATAATTAACTCATAATGTTTTATAAAAATATAAAGATAAAACCAGCTTTCCTCTACAACATGGGTTCTTTTTACCTGTTGTCATAGTAACCAGGTAAACACTAATACAACCAAATGGGCATCAACAAAGTTTTTCACATAAATAGTATTGAAAATATTTATAGGACCTTTAAAAAATAGATTATCTCAGTAGAGGAAGAAAAGACTCAAGTAATAGAGGAGAAGTAGTCAAACTTTATTTGCATATGGAAAGAGAGTTGAGGGGGTGGAAATCTGCGTTGCTGAGAAAAAGAGTTTTCAGAGCAGACTGTTCTGGTATTTTATACCAATTATGTGCAGCTATTGCTTTGAATAAATTCTGCTGCCCTGCTGAGATTTCCTTTTTACAAATCCTGGAGCAATTATAAGATGGAAGTCTGGAATGTATAAACAATGTCCTTTGAACAGTAAATGAGCCTTATTCTTATAAAACTCAAGGGTAGGAATGTACTACCTTTTATCCTATGTTTCTCTGCCTTTCCTTCCTCCTTAATCATAGCACAGAAATTAGGGTCTACTTCAAGACTATACAAAAACATGAATTTTGCCTAAAAATACTTTTAAATGACGAATTCCATGAAATTAACAAAATCTCTCTGTTGCTGTGTAATACCCACGTACTTAATACATGTTCAATACAGCAGTTGATTGAATATTCCTATTCTATTTTATTTCTAGCCTTAACACGAGAATCTGTAATAGATTACTTTTTTCTATAGACCTGGAAACAGAGCACTGCACCAAGTTAGTGTGCATGGGGAAAAAGTGACACCCTTAGAGCGTAACATTAGGCTGAGTTTCCAAATGCCAGCTTGTTTTACGTGACAGAGCAATCTGCGCTAATCAAGGCAAACAATATATACAATCCTAAAAAGAAGTCAACTGTCACTTAGCATTAACTGTAAAAGCCTGAACTCCATTATTTTGTCGAACTCACAGACCTTATACAATGTTTACAATAAGGTTTGGAGAGTTGCCTAGCATTGGAATATATACAATTAAACAACATAGTTGAGCGGCCCTTTTATGTCAGCACTGCTAAAAGAGTGCCATTATGTGTACTCATGATAGTCATTCTTGGAACTCTTAACATAAACAGGAATAGAGAACATTCATTTGTAATTCTATCTGAGTACATGCGGGATTTTATTTTATTTTATTCACATAAACCCCCATGGAAACTAAAGATAGCGATAATAAAAGGATCACTGAATGAGAATCATTTCTTTGACTGTCTAAGAATGCAGTACTTTTATTGTTTGCAACTGAGCTTGAACACTCACCTTATTTGGACTTTTATATAAGCTTGTATAAACAGAGAGATTGTATTTAAATTAATTACAAAGTGATTTTCATTTGTTTGAAAATAACACTAGAAATTAATACAAAATGCACGTCCTGATTTCTTCTTTCAGACATTTTCAAAAAATAGCACATGCAAAGAGGCAACAATATTATTGATTAAAACGAAACAAAACACAAGCTAACTTTTAAGTTCGCATCATATTTTATTAGAGACAGTCAGGCTAACTTCATAGTTATAGCTCAGCCAGAAAGTTACATCCTTTGTTGTTGATAGACAGTAAGAGGGAATGACACACAACTGAAGCAATTTTTTTCTTGAGGAAAATAGAAATATTTAAAAAATTGATTTATAGTTCTATCACTCAGAAATACAAATATATAGATTTTTAATCTAGGTATAGGGTTTTCCCTGAAGTTTTCTTCCTCTGCCTGTTTCCCAGAAAGGCTTGGCTTTATAATTCTGAGAAATAGTTTACATTGACACCAAAATAAAATATAATTATGTCAACTGACACAAAAATGCCTGACTCAAAACGGGGAGGAAGATTTGAGCTCAATTTAGGTCACTGAAGCCAGTGATGCCAGCTGTTTTTGCTCCTTTTTTCTAGTCTGTTGTCTGAAATTTAGGAATTTGTTAAGCATGTTTCTAGAGAAGATTTAACTGCTTCATACAAATTTACCTGTTATTTAGCAAAAACATAAATAAAAGACTGTTAGCCTGATAAATGGAAGATTTACATACTTGAATGATCAAGTGCTGGAGTACCTCAGAATATCAAAACATGTCCTAAAATGTAATTTTTCAGTAAGAAATGAAATGTTTGCCTCCCTCTAACCCTGGCCTGAAACTTGTAGTTTAGAGCCCTCAACATAGACAACTTTTTGTCCTTTACTTTCTCTCATAATATAAATCCTTCTCACTTCTTGTAATACCTGGTGGGGCTCTACTTATAATTATAATGGATGAAAGGTTATGTTTGAGTTAGACCAAAGGATTTTCCAAACATGGTTTTGTCTCTACTTTTGGAAATGAGGGAGGATGTTTTTGGAGTACAAGTTGTGAGTTGTGAGAGATCAACCAGTTCCTCCAAATATTCCTTGAACAACCCAGCAATGTGATTCACACATATTTGTGAAGTGGTACTGGCTTCTCTCTCCCCCGAAATAGGTATTTCAAACTTTTCCCTCTATTCCTAATTTTTGTTTTTCTTTTCTTTTCTTTTTTTTTTTTTTTTTTGAGACGGAGTCTCCCTCTTGTTACCCAGGCTGGAGTGCAATGGCGCGATCTCGGCTCACCACAACCTCCGCCTCCTGGGTTCAGGCAATTCTCCTGCCTCAGCCTCCTGAGTAGCTGGGATTACAGGCACGCGCCACCATGCCCAGCTAATTTTTTGTATTTTTAGTAGAGACGGGGTTTCACCGTGTTGACCAGGATGGTCTCGATCTCTTGACCTCGTGATCCACCCGCCTCGGCCTCCCAAAATGCTGGGATTACAGGCTTGAGCCACCGCGCCCGGCTCCTAATTTTTCAATAAGTTGATGAATAAATTTAGTTTTGACTTTATAAACTTAAAAATGTCTCCTTTAAATTAATTATTTTTCCAGATTACAGACTCCTAGTTTTAATAAGTATACTTACATAGAAATGTCTGTATTCCTTGAATCATTTTAGTAGTTTGCCATTTCGTTGTTTTCAAAGGGCGATCATTACAACCTGCTTGAGTGACCAATTTACATGCCCCTGAATTCTGTACATAGAAGGATTATGTTTTCAGTTTTATTTCCAATAAATAACTTTTATTTCCCTGCCCAGCATTCATTGCCTTTTTGAGTTATGGTTCATATTGGACTCCAATCTTTCAGGAACTGTCCAAAATGGCTCCCAAATGGTTCCAGTTAGAACTGATGGTTTAGTGAGCCAAGTCTTACCTAGGGACATTGAAGAGCATCTGACACTTTTCTGACCCACTTTTCCAAAAGCTTATCCCCATCAGCTCAGTATGTCAGTGCAATGAAAGGGTAGGATGTTATATGCAGATGTGGAGCTTTCATTGTGGATGGTTGCTTTCCAATGCTGTATAAAAATGTTGAAATAAAAAGACATGAGTCCAAGAGAGACCATTCTTGGGACTGAATGCAAGAATTACATCATGTTGGTTTCCTGTTACATTTTCTCACATAATGACATTCATTGCACAGATATTCTTAACTAGGCATATGGGGGATTCATAGGTTGAACATACTCCCACTCTGAGAGAGAGTACAGTACAATCAGATAGAGGAAATATAATATAGTAAATAGATATTAACAATCTAAGATGTGGGCCATAGGTGGTATCAGGAGAGAGATCTACAGAAAAACTAGAGAAATAGACCTAACTTCTGTCCAGGAAAGATAAAAAAAAGTTCTGTGGATGAGGCAAAATCCATCCTGCACAGCTGTAGGAATTTCCTGGCAGGTATAGACTATGTTATAATTAGAATTCAATATAACAAGGATCATTGTTATTAACAGCAATAACAATGATGGTAATGATAATGATTACAGGTAACATTTATTAAATATTTACCATGTGATGGGCATTGTTCTAGAAAATTTATATGTATGCAAATCATTATTGTTAAAATATAAAACACAGTTAAGTATGAACGTATTTTCTGTCAGAGTAAGTAATAGAAAAAGGAAGAGGACAACAAATTGATGTGGTTGATAAATATAATAAATTTAATTTGTAAGTATTTTACTATTTCATATAATCAGGAAAATACCTATGCACTGTGGGAAATAATGTCATTGTTTTATACTGACAATCAAAAACCTCTGTAATACAGATAATTAACATATGCTAGGAAGTAAAAATAAATTGGGTGTACAGAATAATATTTGGGGAGTGTGATGTGGAGCTATTCCAAGCATAACATCAGCTTGCATTTGTTTTTCTTTTACATGTACACCCGCACAACAGCCTCATGAGTTTAAAAATGTGTCTGTGCAGTTTTACTGTCTTGGTTCTGGAGTACCATACTCAGTGAAATCCTAGTTATCAGCATTAGGCTTCAGATGTTGCCAGTGCAGGCCAAGCATCTTTTATTAAGAATCTTCTTTAGCATTCCTTCTCCCAGAAATTTCTAACCCCCCCCCCCGATTTTTATTGTTCTGTCTGTTCACTATGAGGTCAAGTTTTCATCTCCTTTAATTTAGTTTTTTTGAAATCTGTATTCCAGAATGAGTCTGCCCTGTAATTCCATGTGTTATCTCATGACAATTCTTTGAGTTCTTCCCCAGAATAATTTCTGAGTTGATATGCTTGTGTAAGAGTTAGTTACACGATACCAATATAGTCCTGAGAGGAAACAGAGGTCTGGATAGAAATGCAGAGGGTAGTGAGCGACTCCCTGAAGAAAAAGGTCTGTGGAGAAGTGGGTAACAAAAAGCTGGAAAGTTTTTGGGTAGTGATTCTGCCAGTGTTAGCCAACTGTGAGAAGAAACTAGAACCCACTAGAGAAATAACACATTTAGAGAATGACTGGAAGCTCTCAAGGCCCTGGAGCCCCGAGTTGCAAACACCTTGTGTGGGCAGAGTCCAGGGAAGCCTGGAGTCAGGGCTGGATGGTAACAAGAACCAAAGAGATGAGAAACAGCCCCAGGTGAGAAGTTCTGGGTCCTGTCCTGCATCTCTGGCAAAGAAGACAGGATTCTGGTTTGAGTTAAGGTGAAAAATGAGGTTGATGCCTATCTTTTTAGGACCACGAGAGGCGCCGGTGTCTGGAGCCGTGGCACCGGCATCTGCTGACACTGCTGCCTCCAGCAAGTTCTTTCGCCCTCTTCCCTTCTTCACCCCTACACCTTGGAGGTGAACTTCTCATCCGAGGGCGGTAAAGACTAGTTTGAAAATGGAGAGCCAAGAACCAGCAGAGCCTTCTCAGAATGGCAGACAGCATATTATTTCAGAGGACATCTGCTGAAAATGATTAGGTTGCTGCTGGCAAGAAGTGAAAGGTAGGATAGGAGGAAAGAGGCTACTGCTTTACGCACGCAGTGAAGCTTTCCCCTCAGTTCAGTATAGTGCCATAGTTAATTTCAGAAGGAGAATGGGTCAAGCTTGAAAAAACAACATACATGGACCCTACTGGTAAAACTAGAACTTGGGAATCAGTGAAACGTACGACCAGGAAAGAACAGAGTGCTGATGGTGTAGCGGTCATCCCTGTGCTACAGAGAACACTTCATTACGAGTATATCGTTTTGGTGAAACAGTTCCGACCACCCATGGGCGGCTACTGCATAGAGTTCCCTGCAGGTCTCATAGATGATGGTGAAACCCCAGAAGCAGCTGCTCTTCGGGAGCTTGAGGAAGAAACTGGCTACAAAGGGGATGTTGCCGAATGTTCTCCAGCTGTCTGTATGGACCCAGGCTTGACGAAGTGTACCACACACATTGTGACAGTAACCATTAACGGAGATGATGCCGAAAACCTAAGGCCCAAGCCAAAGCCAGGGGATGCAGAATTTGTGGAAGTCATTTCTTTACCAAGAATGATCTACTGCAGAGACTTGATGCTCTGGTAGCTGAAGAACATGTTACAGTGGATGCTAGAGGCTATTCCTATGCTTTAGCGCTAAAACATGCAAATGCAAAGCTATTTGAAGTGCCCTTCCTGAAATTTTAAGGCCAAAGATGACGCTGGCCACTTTTGTAAATGAGACCACCAGGCCTTCTTCACTAAGACTTTGTCTTCAACTTAGCTTAATGTAGATTTGAAATTAGCTTTTTCATAAAATAAAAGCAGCACAGAATGCAAAAAAAAAAAAAAAATGAGGTTCAACTCAGAAAAGAGATTGCAAATGCCATGAAAGAATGATTTAATGTGTAAACATGAGCCAGACCATGTGGAATTTGAGAGGGTACCTATGATATGTCTAATTTGTATATAGTTTATTCACTAAGATTCTCTTTGTGTTTTCTTGTAAACAGCTACCAGGACCCAAGGCAGGGATGAGGGCATTCCAAGGAAAGTAGAAAGGCATGAATCCAAGTGGCTCTGTCTTTGGAGGAGAAACTGTATTCTTTTAGATGTTGGTAATAGAACATTTCCCAGGAAATGGCATTAGAGACTGTGTTGAAGGGTCCTCTGGGGGTGGGTTTTGGCTTATGTATATGTAATAACTGTAACACAGGTAACTCTATCCATGGGTAAAAAGGCAAAACTAATGCTAACTAGTAATATTTTCTGTGAGCTGTTATTTAGCTAACCCCAATACATCTTTTCATGCAAGAGTTTGAATCTCTCTTGACCAAAATATATGTTCACTTTTCAACGTTGAATTAATGGATACAAATTACTTTAATGATGTCTTACATTATAGGTTTTTTTAAAAGCCTTAAACATGAAATTACCTCAAATAGAAGTTAGCCATATCTACTTAATCTCTACATTTTAACCAAATGATCAAATGTACGTATCCCACTTGCTCCACATAATACTATTAATAGTTTGAGTGAAAGCTAATCAAAGTAATCAGAAAATACCTTGTGTTTTTTTGTTGAAATTGAAGGAATGAAAATAAGTTTACTTACATTAAAGCTGACTTTTCATAGACATACTTTCTATGCTAGGTGGTAAAAAACCTACTCAAGATTGGGGCAGGGTGCATTTACCTGTCCCAATTTTGTAACTGTGCTATAAACACATTGGCAAAACAGTCCAAAACTAAATCAGATAGAAACATGAATCTGTGTTCTCAGAGATATTGTTAATGAGCCACAGGTGAGCAGGGGTCGTGCCTCCAATTGCTTTGAAACCTTTGTTACTCATGTAGTGGTTACCCACTAATAAATATTTGTTGAGCGACTCAGATCCATATGTAATATAACCTTGTTCTTTTGAGAAAATGGCTAATACATATTTTTAATTGTAATGTATACCTTTCCTCCCCATTCTTTACCATCCCTGAAATTGGGGTGCATCTTATATTTGATGGCATGTTTCAGTGGGTCATCAGCCTGGATTACAGTCAAGTTCTTCCAGAGGAGATTTGTGTTTGCTTGTGAATAGCCATCCAGGGACACTATCAATCTGAGACCTTTTGATATTAAATTCTCTGCTTGAGATTTTCTTGTACCATACTGGTTGTGTGGATGCAGTACCAGTTGGTGGTTTGCATTCTCAGAGGAGATTTTGTTTTTTTCTTCAGCTGATTCTAAGCTTGAGACATGCATGTCTACTTGCTGTTTCTTTCAGTGTGAAAAGTTTATTTCTTGTTTGTACTTCCCCAGAAAATGTGACCCTTTGGTGTCTCAGTTTTCTGTAGCAATCTTCTATCAGACTCTTCATTTTGGAGTATTTAAAAAGTTTATTAATGGTACATAGACTAATGGTGTATCCTATAGTTGATGGCATTTTAGAGCTGATGAAAACTTATTTATGTTGCTGTATATCCAGCTGATCCATGACATTTGAAAGCCCAGACAGGTTTTGCATTGTTGGCTGCCAGTGGGACCAGAAAACTTATTTTGTGTAGATGGTTGTGGTGCTCTCATGCATTCAAAATTATGGGTAAGTCTAGATGACCAGGTCTTCACCGTGTTATTTCTGCCAAACCTCTCTGGCGCTTGGGAAACAAAGTCAGCTGCAGCTTCTTGCATCACTGTCCCTCGCTGTGTGTAAGGTTTAGAGATGGCACTGAAGTGATAAGACTAGAAATACAAGTGGTGTTTAATCAGAAGTCCTGGTTCTTCTCATTTGGCTGTCACTAAATGACTTTTCTTCTCCTTTGTGTCTAGACTTCCACTTTGTACACTTAGTGGTCAGCTGCATTCCTTTCACATTCCTCACAGCAATTGGTCCTTGCCCATCTTTTTTTTTTTCTTTTTTCCCCCATACGATCTGCAGGAACGCCCATCTTTTTGCTATCATGTGCCAACTAGAATGTCCTCCTGAGTTACAGTCTTCACCGGCTATCATTCTATGCATTTCTCTCCTTCCATAGTGCTGCTCATACTTTCCTAATGCTCTCTCCCTGGGTAATTCTCATCTTCTTTGGGAAAAGAGACAAGAGGAAGAGAATTCATTAACATTTAATTTATTACCTACTATTGTAGGCCGCTTTACGAAATTATTTTATCAACAACCTATAGCAAATAATTATTATTATCCCATTTTACATAAGAGCAGACTGAGGTTCACGGAGGTAAAGCAACTGCCCAAGGCCATATGGCTGGTAAGAAGTTGAACCAGGATTTGAAACCTCGGTCACACTTTTCAATTCAAACTGTTTTCACTTGACCTCACTACTTCCCTGAAACAGTGCTGCACCTAGCTTTTGGCTTTTGTTTTTCTTTATCTCCTTTTAGGTTCATTTAAGTGACTTATCCACAATAGAGATCAAAACAATAAAGAAGCCAACTAAAAGCAGATACTGAAAATGATGGCATCATAAGTGTGGGTTCTGGAACTTAAGAGTTGGGCTTTAATTTTGTTTTTTGTTTTTTGGTTTTTTTTTTTTGAGATGGAGTCTTGCTCTGTCACCAGGCTGGAGTGCAGTGGCGCAATCTTGGCTCGCTGCAACCTCTGCCTCCTGGGTTCAAGTGATTCTTCTGCCTCAGCCTCCCAAGTATCTGGGACCACAGGTGCGCGCCACCACGCCCGGCTAATTTTTCTGTATTTTTAGTAGAGACGGGGTTTCACTGTGTTGGTCAGGATGGTCTCGATCTCTTGACCTCGTGATCTGTCCACCTTGGCCTCCCTAAGTGCTGGGATTACAGGAATTTTGTTTTGTTTTGTTTTTGTGTGTGTTGTATACATCTTGGCTTTCTGTTACTGTGTTAACATTTTGAGAAATGAGTATTTCAGATAAAAACAAAAGCTGAGGACTTCACTGTTCCAATTTTCAAATTTAAAAATCTTAAAATTAGCCTGACATCTGCTTGGTGTCTCATTTTCACATGGATGTCTAATTTAGAGGGTTTTTTACTCTTTAACTAGAGTTTGGCAAAGCATCAATTGAAAGCAAACAATATTTTATATTTATATTTTGTTGTATTCTGAGGAATCTCTAGGATGTATCAGTACCATATAATTTATTGAATACATTTAATGTCATAAAAGAATGATTTTAGGAGCTTTGGTTTTTATAGGCATGATTGACAGACACAATGTAACTCACTTGAGATGGTAATAAATTGCAATAAAAGTACGATAAAACACTTTGTATGTTCCATATAATAGTCATACACAAATGCATTTTAAAATAATAAACACTTTTCTGATAAGTGTTAGAATTATCATGACAGGGAGGCTTTGTGGAAGTTAGATGACATTCATAACTACTATGTTAAGATTGAAATTCTAGAAATGTAAGTGTGTGTGTGTGTCTGTGTGTGTGTGTGTATGTGTGGTATGTGGTATGGGGAGGGTGTAGCTCTGCCAAAGCCCCTTGTTTACCTGGAGTTTTGTTGCCTGTCTTGTGATCAGACCCAAGCATAGGCTTAGATGAACCGAATCAGTTTTGTAATCTGATGAGCTCCGCCGTGAGCTTTGGTAACTGATGAGAACACTCAGGAGAAGTCACTAGAGAGAAGAGAGGATTCTGCCCTGCAATCCTCCGGCTTGGTTACTCTGCCAAGCCTGCTTTAATGATTCGATACTGGGATTCCTGACTCCGGAGACTGGTTGTGATCTGGTTAGTGTCTGACCTTTTCTTACTTGAGTAAGATCTGGAGTACTTCTCTGAGAGTAAGAGATACTTAGGGTAGCCTGCAAGCCTGAGGGCTGACATGTGATGACCAAAACAGTGGTGCTTCTTTTATCAAATAAAAAATTTGAATGAAAAATGTAGGATCGAGTTGGGCAGGAGTAATAATGTTAGAGTTAGCCAACAATATCGAGGACTGTTTGATTTTTTTGTTGTTGTTCTGTATAGTTGTTGATATTTGTTATGTAAAGACTATTGGTGCCTGCCTTAAAGATAGGATGGACCAAACACTTACTCTAGAATTACTAAAGAATTAAGCCATAAGATGTTGGAAGTACTATCGTAATGACTATGCCAAATACAAGTTACACCATATCACATGCTTCTGTCATTAATAGTGACAGGTTGGCCAATTAATCTCTTTGGAAAAACTTCAAAGAAAGATTAGCTTATTTGACTTTTTGTCATTATGATTATTTGATAATAACTCACTTTGAAACATCTTCAAGATTCCTTTGCTTAGATGCCCTTTAATAAAAACTCTTGACAAGAAGACAAAGATAAATATTGAACATTTTATTTATGGAACTAAAGTAACATGCTGTTCTGTAAATAAGCACATTGCAATTATTCTTGGAAAATACTAAACCTAGTGGTGGAAATCCTTCCTTACTGTGTGCAGAAACCTACATTGTGGAATATAACAGGATTCTTAAATAGGAATTAGTCCATTTTGTGTGGGCCTTGCAAGGGCAAGGGGATTTTCTTAGTCTTCACATCCTAGGATTAATGACATGCACAACGAATATTTGTCAAATGCATAAGTAAATGGGCAATTGAATGAACTCAAGAAAATGTGTGACTTTTAAATAGAAAATATTGAAAGCTACATAATTTTTAGAAAGTTAACTTAATATTCAAAAAGCTGCTCAGGACAATATAAAAGATACCAATATATCCACCTGATAGTATTAAAAGATTATAGTATTGACCATATGCTTTACCTCCTTTTTTCCTTTTAATAAAAGAAATAAAATATTGCCTGCCTTTTTTGAGATGTAGTTTCACCCTTGTTGCCCAGGCTGGAGTGCAATGGCATGATCTCGGCTCATTGCGACCTCTGCCTCTCAGGTTCAAGCAATTCTCCTGCCTCAGCCTCCCGAGTAGCTAGGATTACAGGCATGTGCCACTGTGCCTGGCTAATTTTATATTTTTAGTAGAGATGGGGTTTCTCCATGTTGGTCAGGCTGGTCTTTAATGCCCAACCTCAGGTGACCCACCAGCCTTGGCCTCCCAAAGTGCTGGGATTACAGGCACGAGCCACCGCACTCAAGTCTACTCTTAATATGCACACTTTTTCTACGTTTTCATATGTTAACAAAAAATATGTACAACTGTATTTTGTGTTTTTAAATCTACATTTATGATGTCATAATCTATGTATCCTTCTGCAGTTTTCTTCATGCAGCATTGTTTTTGAGAAATGTCTGTTGATTATTTATTTTATTGCTTAGTAGCTTGTTTTTAAACTATATCATAATTTGTTTAACTGTTCACTTTTTGATGCATATGTAAGTTGTTGCTGGTTTTTCCAGTTACAGGTATGTCCCAGTTCCCATCCTTGTATGGGTCTCTGTGTGCATGTGCAGTAGATTCTCTGAGACATGTGTCTGCAAGTGGAGTGGGGAGTCATGGTGTGGCATGGTGTGTGTTTCCTGAAGGGGTTGTCTTGATATATCCTTCCACTGGCATAAAGGAGAGCACTTTTGCTCCATACTTCTTTTAAAAGGCTTCAGCATTTAGTAAAATAGACAGTGTTTTGTGCGTATGTGTTTTCTTAAGTTCATGGTAGGTGGCTTAATTGCATTTAATTTCACAAAATCCAAATTCCTTTTCATAACCATGGAGAAAGACAGACCACATAAAAAACAAAACACTTGTGAATGAAAAAAAAGGAATAGCCATTTGTCTCTTCATTGAAGTTGGTGAGTTTTTTTGTTTTTGTTTTTGTTTTTGTTTTTGAGATGGAGTTTCACTGTTGTCAACCAGGCTGGTATGCAATGGTTGTGATCTTGGCTCACTGCAACCTTTGCCTCCCAGGTTCAAGCACTTCTGCCTCAGCCTCCTAAGTAGTTGCGATTATAGGCACCCGGCTAATTTTTGTATTTTCAGTAGAGACAGGGTTTTGCCATGTTAGCCAGGCTGGTCTTGAACACCTGACCTCAGGTGAGCCACCTGCTTCAGCCTCCCAAAGTGCTGGGATTACAGGCGTGAGCCGCCATTGCCGGCCCTGAAGTTGCTGTTGAACTCACTGAAGTGCATCTCATTCTGAAAGGGGCAGTGACTCACTCTCCTGATTACAATCCCAGTTGAAAATACTACATCATTATCATTTTCAGCCCTAAATACTTAGTCTTGTATCAGCCTGAATTGGTGTTTTTTGAGAGGCATATTATAAAACCAAAGTAGATATCACTGAAAGGTTCTGTATTAAATAGCTTAAGTGAGTAAGAATCAGCTTTTACAGTGATTGGATTAACCATCCTGACCACTCTGAACATCTTTTTGAACCTCTTTTTTCTAGAACAGATATCATTTCTTTTATGTGAAAACTACTTTTAGCAGAAATGAAACCCCTGGTTTTGTCAGAAGGGGGAAAAAAGGCATCTGACTGATTTTATGGGTAACATTTTTTTTCTTTCTTCTTCTCTTAACAGTGGGTTCCATTTTCTTCTCAGTTCTGCAGGAAGCGCCCATTTCCTTACTATGCTTTTCCTTTCATGTATACTGTAAATAACAAATGTTAGATTGCCTTCTCACTTCCCATCTCTTCCATTCATTTTGGGGTTTCATTCTTCAACTG